ACATGTTTTTTTCTGCTGTAAAGTTGGGCATTTTAACATGGGGGTCTATGGAAATTGCTCCTTTCTGCAGCCTGTCCCTAGCGGCCCATGTATGAACTGCAGTGTGTGGCACTTCCGTATTGGCGTCCAGGTGTTGTGTCACATTCAAGCGGCAAACTGTGGGGTAGAGCCGGGAAGCCAATACGGAAGTGCCACACACTGCAGTTCATATATTGGCCGATAGGCGATGGCTGCAGAAAGGAGCAATTTCCATAGACCCCCATGTTAAAATGCCCAATTTTACAGCAGAAAAAAACATGTTTCTACCCCTGGCTCCATACATTTTATTAGCGATATAGTTAGATTCCACCTTCATAATTATGGATCTGTGAGTGAATTGTTTTCTAACGCGACCCTTTTATTTATATTAGGTCTTAAAGTTTGTGCATACATTAGGGCGTGGTCACATTGAGTGACGGCTCTGTCAAGTGCCTGCCGCTGTTAGCTTTTTGTCTCTCTGCTAGCTGCTCCGTGAAGCTAGCTACAGGGACTCTGCCTGCTCAGCTCATCCAGCAAACACAACTTGTAGCCGGCCGTGGTTGTTTGTTCTTCATGCTTATATATCGGACTATTGTGACTCGCTCTGCGGTTAAAACAGACGGTGCATGAATGCGGTAAGTGAAATTCGAGTGCTTTATTTATGTGTTAATGATTTTAATCGGCTACGTAATGAATGGTAAGGCTTGGGTTAGTTAGTGGCTAGTGGTAGCTACATCGGTGCTAACGATTGTAATCGTAGCCTCCAAGTTAAAATCATAGACTGTATATATAAAGGTAAACTAAATAGACAAGTGTTAAGTGGGATAATACTGTTGAACAAACGGCTTCTGTTTGAGGTTGATAAAATAAGGTCATCCTTGTAACTTAGAGATATTTTATTATATAGGTAGAACTGTATGCATCTAAGGTTAATTTAAATTGGCTATGCTCAAGTATGTAGACAAGCTAATGTCGAAGTAGTGTATGTGAAATCAACCTCACAATAAGATGTGTGTATATTACAATTATTAATGTCATATTTCAAGATGATTACTTAGATATTACAATATGGTTGGTTGAGCTGGAGTTCATTATCGAGCTTACACGTTAACGTCACAGTCATCTGAAGAACGAACCCAAACCTTGTTGTTTTTATTAATTGTATTACCAAATGGGTATCAAATAAACAGTAAGCATTGGTAACACAACTTCCAAAGTTACAGTAAAATAAAAAGAACCCTGACTCGGACAATACACAATCCAACATGTTCAACAGAAGAGAATCAGTTATATTGTTTGTACACATGGTACTTTACATATATATCTGTTTGTTTAAGGTGTCCAGGTGATGCAGACAGGCTGGACCAGAGAGTGAGAGACAGAACTGGACTCCTCACAGCAGTGAACTTCAGCACAGGTACAAAGACTCTTTTTTCATACTGTACAAAGAATCAAGAAAGATATTGGTTTAAATGAATGAAGTATTGACTTGAATACACTGATATACATTCCATTAAACAATACTAGATCACCTACACATCAGTGAAGTTGAGGGTTTTTTCCATGCAAAAAGTTACATTTAGATATTAGCAATATGACTTTTGTCAGCTTTCTAATTTAATGTATTGAAGGCAAAGCTATTTAACACATAGTGAGAACTGCTACTATTTATCTCTCAATATTGTCTGAAAAAAACATGGTAAAAGTGATTCTTTCAGTGAGACAACAGAGCAAGCTTCTACAGTTGCACTACGTTTTGATAACAGTTAAATATTATTTTGATAATAACATATATTTCAATGTTGATGAACTTCATACTGTTAATTCATAATCTGATTGTCTTTGTAGCTCATTGTTGAAATAAAAAAACAACATTACAATTACAAAATAATTATATCTACAGCCCCTAAACACACAAGCACACTGCTTTCATAAATAACACACTTGTTCTGCAATAATATGTTTTATGTTTCCTGTCATTTTTGTTAGGAAAGGACATGCCTGAAAGACACGACATGTTCTCCTTCTCTGAGGGTCAAGAAGAACATCCAAGAGGAACATTAAAAGCTGATGTTATGAGATTTCAAGACCAGTACAGGACATTCACTAAGAAACTACTTTTATTGTAAAAACAGTCAGCTGATCGAATGCAGCTATTTCCACATCTACACTCCATCAGCTGATTATTTATATTTGCCTCACTTTATGAGCTTCACAACATGTACCTTGTTTTGCAACGTCATAAATAAATGGGGCCAATCTTCAGTCAGATGTGAATGTGTAATCTAACATTTTCAGTAAGAATAATGGACAAAAGGAGTGCAAATACAAATACAAATTATTGAAATGTGAACCAAAAGCACATATGGACAGAAGGTGTAAACCTATTAAATGTATAAGTAAACACATTTAGTCAAATAAAGTGACAGACTAGGCCTGTGCAGTTGGTATCAGCTTTGCCCAGCATGGGCTCCTCCATCAGCCCTGGTCCTCCTCGCAGAGGAAAGACCCTCAGTCCTCCTCGCTGAGGAAAGACCCTCAGTCCTCTCCAAACCAACAGACAGGACGTCCATCACACGGAGGTTTCTCCCTGAAGTCTCTCCTGCTCTCTGGACACCATGCTGTCTCAATCCGTCCACACTGAATATGAGAGGGGGGAAATGAAAATAATAAATGCTTTAGACAATAAGAAACATAAAGTTGAGTTGCTCAGTTTTTTTAGATTGTCAATACTATTACTGTATAACTAATATCTCAGGTTAAGAGGCAAATTCAAATAAAGATTGGTCTTTAAATACATTTTATCTTTTGAATTGTTTGTCTAAAGTCAATGATCTAGAACTGGTACTTAGTTTTAATGATATAGTCTGGTTATTATGCTGTTTGGAGGAGGCCTCACAGGTAAGAGCACTAACTAGCTACCATCACATGTACCTTAGCTTGACTTAAATGTATTAAACGTATAGTTAAGTGATATCAAAACATAAATAACTAATGTCATGTAAACATATTAATATTTGCTTGATTCCAGTGTTGAATTTAGCACAATTGCATACAAACGTTAAGGGGTTTTAAGATTCTGAAGTATTATGCTAAAAACTCAATAACTTAGATTATTATTTATAGTTTCATGTCCGCTTACCTTAGAAACGTAAATGTTAGCTTAGCTTGGTAGCTTCAGCTAGCTCTGGAACTTTCAGCTCGGTGGCCTCGGCTCCGCCTCTTTGCCCTTATTTGGAGAAGGCGGGAGTTGAACTCTAACGTCACTGTTGAGCCGTTAGTGGCCGACTCCGCCTACTAAGGGCTTCACGGCAACTCTGCAGAATCCTATGGGTGACGTCACGGACCCTACATCCATTTATATATACAGTCTATGGTCACATTATGCCTCCCCGTCATGAAATGCCCCCCTTGTCACGGGAACGCGCATTTCTAAATGACACGTTTACACCTCTAAATGACACGTTTACACCATAGGTTTACACCTTAAAACGATGTTTAAAACGAAAAGTAAACGTTCAGGGTTTTTATTAATGGTAATTTTCAGACTGTGAGTTGTTTAGTGGTAGCTCATAGTCTTGATTCTTCTGGTTTAACTTTTCGCTCCGTATTTGAGGTGTCAATTCATTCGTCACTTCCTTTTCAATTTTTGTTTTTTTAAATCTTTTTTTTATCATTATTGTTACGTCCTGTCTCTATAAACGTGCTTTAAAATGTATTGTTTAATTTTACATAGTTGTCATCTAATAATCAAAATATATGTTTACAAATGTTACATAGTCTTTGTCAGCATATTATTATATACGCTATGCGTACAAAAATAAAAGTGTGACATTCATGAAACTTGCTCAATTTATTGGTACCAGTCCTAGAACCATACCCTGAAAAATGCTTGAGGGTGGGATTAATAGAAACCCCTTTTGGGGGGGGGGGGGCATTTTATGACAGGCCTGTCCATCACAATATGCCCTCCCTTGCTATCTTACAAAATAAAAGTGTGACATTCATGAAACTTGCTCCATGTATTGGTACCAGTCCTAGAACCATACCCTGAAAAATGCTTGAGGGTGGGATTCATAGAAACCTCTTTTTTGGGGGGGGGCGGGGGCATTTTATGACAGGCCTGGCCATCACAATATGCCCCCCCTTGCTATCTTACAAAATAAAAGTGTCACATTCATGAAACTTGCTCCATGTATTCGTACCAGTCCTAGAACCATACCCTGAAAAATGCTTGAGGGTGGGATTCATAGAAACCTCTTTTGGGGGGGGGGCATTTTATGACAGGCCTGGCCATCACAATATGCCCCCCCTTGCTATCTTACAAAATAAAAGTTTGACATTCATGAAACTTGCTCCATTTATTAATTCAGTGACGTTACAACAATGTAGTTGATAGTATTACAGTAAACATGCCTCTTTTTAATACATTGTGATCATTTTTCTCAAAGGTGATCAATGCCTACACTCATTGTAAGAAAATTCAACCAGCGCAATGACGGTCAAGCAGCTGTTATTGACAGCGTATACGCTATGACCGCCATCTGGAAACACAAATTTGGAAGAATCCGGGTATGTACATGATTGGAATGACTTTGCATTTGTAAATGTTGCAAATGTGCATTTTTCAACAGGAATGTAATACTTTTGCAACTACTCTCAGGTTGATCCAATGGCACACAGTCATCGTGGGAATTGTGAACGAGAACCATCACTGGATGTTGGTGGTGAGAATAGGAGCATATTTTAAGCTCCAATCTGTATCTATAGTGCTGTATACACCATATATAATTAGTAATTTGCAAGATAACCGGGCCACACATACATGCTGTCACTTATTATTGATAACATCTAAACAATACCCTACATCGTACCTGCGTAATGTATGTTCCTGCCTAATGCATGTTGTGTTTCCATGTGAATAATAAAAGGTAATGTACCCCCATGAGAAGAAAACCCTCTTCTTGGATCCATTTGGAGAAGGGAAAGGCAAAATGAGGGTGTGCCTACAGTCTACAAGGTATATTTGATACAGTGTACTAGTTCCAGTGTTGTATGAGTTTTTTGACAATGATGTGCTGCATCTTGACACATGTACTATCTACATACTGTAGAGCCTTTATGAGGATGAAAGGCTGCAAGGTGTCAAGGTGGACATGCAGCACCCTCCCCCATAATCGCCAACAAGACAGCACATCCTGTGGTGTCCTGGCCTTAAAAGTGAGTGTGAAATGCATTTAGCCAAACATTACTCTCAAACTCAAATTCAGTAGCAATTTACGGTGGCCCTGAAGTGCAAGACACCACAGCATTTCAGAAAACACCACAGCATTTCACATTGGACGGAAAGGGTATTCCTTAGGGAGAACACTTCTTGTTTGTGATTGGACAGAGCCAGCCATAGAAGCACTGCTGTGATTGGTTGTTTTTGCTGCCAGTCAAGAAATGACGCTGCGTGATTGGCCCAACACATCAGCCGAGCCGTTAGCTGTTAGCACACACTCAGAGCTCACAGCTCCTCATATTCTTTCACACACACATACGGGTTTTGGGCCGAGGGCGACACCGTACTTCCGGTATCAACCATTTCACACGAGGTGCATACAGAATATCACAGTCGATTGCCTTAATCAATATAGTCAACTCTAAAATACCACATATATGCATTGGCATGATAATATTATTGTGACAAGTGAGGTATTCACCTGGTGTTTCTAGAAGATAGACGTAGATGCTGCCAAAATCGACCGAAGGCCACTTTTGAGGGTCGTAATTCCATACATTGTACATCCAACAACCCACACAGCTCTAGTTTACGCTGGTAACGACCTAGAGCACATCCCTCAAGTCCAGAGATGTAATCCGAAGACATGCAGCGATTTCTTCGGTCGTTAATTCAGAAGAAAAAAACGAGTGCGCTCTGCCTGGCTACATTAGCTAGCTGTTTATATTAGCATCTCCAGGATTTTTGCACCTCCAGAAAAATGGCGTCTTTATAAAAAAATATATGGCGCGCGTTGCATTGTGGGTAGCTGTGACGTCACTGTGTGTGAAAGAATCTGTTCAGAAACTGGACAAAAGTTAAACATATACAAAACACAGACTGTCTGTCATTTCGAATACAGTCGCTGCTTTATTTATGTCTGTATGACGTTGTTGTGAGTGTGGACGGAACAGCAACAGGTTAGTTAGTCTGATCGATCCGATTCCGATAGGATTTACATGGAGATACGGCCCGCCCCCTCTCCAGCGTCTTGTTTGAATGACAGGAGTAAACACAGAATGAATGCTTTATTAATTCATGGTTTTTAAGGGGCTTATCTCCATGTAAATACTATGGTAGACCACACAATATTCGCATCGCTCTAATCGCTCGAGTTTCACCGCGGCTGTCAGCTGTGTTTGCTCCTGTCATTCAAACAAGAGGCGCTGGAGAGGGGCGGGGCGTATCTCCATGTAAATACTATGGGAGATACCAACTACAACAAAATGAACATATTTGACCGTGATTTAATTGTAATACACGTTTCAAAGTGATGCCGAAGTAACTACATACTGATAACGGTTAGTAAAAACCATGAATTAACGCTTTGACAAGTCTGCAGATAAGACGGCAGGCGAAAAGCTTTTAAAATGCGTATTTTCTGAATGGAATCGGACCCATCAGGCTAAACTAACCTGTTGCTGCTCCGTCCACACTCACAACAACGTCATACAGACATAAATAAAGCAGCGACTGTATTCGCCATGACACAGACAGTCTGTGGTTTGTACTTGTTTAACTTGTGTCCAGTTTCTGAACAGATATGAGGAGCTGTGAGCTCTGAGTGTGTGCTAACGTCTAATGTGTTGGGACATATTTCGTGTCGGGTGTTGACCAATCACGAAGCGTCATTTCTTGACTGGCAGCAAAAACAACCAATCACAGCAGTGCTTCTCTGGCTGGCTCTGTCCAATCACAAACAAGAAGTGTTTTCCCTAAAAGGAATACCCTTTCCGTCCAATGTGAACTGCTGTGGTGTTTTCTGAAATGCTGTGGTGTGTTGTGAAATGCTGTTGTGTTTCTGAAATGCTGTGGTGTGTTGTGAAATGCTGTTGTGTTTCTGAAATGCTGTGGCGTTTTGTGAAATGCTGTGGTGTGTTGTGAAATGCTGTTGTGTTTTGTGAAATTCTGTGGCGTTTTGTGAAATGCTGTGGTGTGTTGTGAAATGCTGTTGTGTTTTCTGAAATGCTGTGGCGTTTTGTGAAATGCTGTAGTGTTTTCTGAAATGCTGTGGTGTCTTGCACTTCAGGGCCACCGTAGCATTAGACTGAATATCTTGACTTGCTTTTATACATCTTGATCAAAGATTTATTGAATTGTGTCAAACTACACATATACAACATGTCATTCTTTAAATCTGTTGGGTCATTTGTCTGTATTCCATTTGAGGGTAAAATCATAGACCATGCAGTCCATATACTAATCAAGGTTCTCTTCAGTTTGCAGAGAAGATTTTACTGGGGGAGGCAATTGAGTTTGAAAGCTCCCAGAAGGCAGTGCACGAGCTGAGGCTGGACATTGCTACTTCTCTCCTCAGAGAATCTGGTTTGTTACCTTTTCTCAACATTGTCAATGACTTCATGTAGTTACTTTTATTAATTGTATCTCATAAGTATGCATCAATAACCTAGTATATTAATAATGTGCCATGCAAATTGTTGTATTGTATCACTGCTTGGACCATTGGTACTGTTGACCAGGGACATTATCAGGGTTTTAAAAGCAACACAGTAGCTTAAGTATAGATTAGGGTAAATAGTCACTACATACAGTATATTGTGTATCTCAACTCCAAACAGATAACATATGAAGCATCGCAGGCAGGCATCTTCAACTGCAATTTCATATAGGTTACACACGTCACACTCTAACACACCCTTTCAATTCTGCGGTTTATTTAAGATGTGAGATTTCCCCATCTTTCTCCTTTCAATGTGCTCGTTGATGTGTATTACTTTTAACTGATATCCTCAGTTAATTTTGACCTTGAACTTATTATAATCAAAGCTGTAAAGCTAATACATGTGATGAACAACAAAAGAACCATGAGAACCAAACTTAAATTGATGCGTACAGTGCGAAAGAAGTTTTTGGATGTTTTGTAATGACATTGTGCAGGTTCCCATTCTACAGAGGGTAAGGAGAGAGTGAAAGAAGGAGCAGATGGCTCCTCTGTGCTCAGATTTAATAATTTAGAAAATCTATGTGTTTGTGTGTGTTTTGCCTTTTCTTCACACAAAATAATAAAAGACCACAACAAATGTGTCCTTATATAATTGACCTTTTAGTCAAAAATTGGAATGGGTCACCTTGACCCCAAATCTGCAATGTGGTTTATCTGAAGATATTGATTACGTTTTGTCTCAACAGATGATCTAAGCAGGCTTTGCTTTTACTGCGGGATGGAGGAGCAGGATGAAGAACATTGGGTAATTTCCTATTGCACATTACAAATAAAGAAAATTAGCAGAAATATGTTTCCAGACTTTATCAACATAACATTTGCGTTGGTAATTGCTAATATATTTGGCATATTCAGCATTAACTGATAAAGGATGAATGTTTTGCTTGTTTTTCCATACATTTTTGTTGAACATTTCTTTCTTTCTCATAACACAACATTTATGTTTTTTTTTTAAAGATTTCGATAATTGAAGGAATGGTTAGAATGTTAGTGGGAAATACATTAGAGATATTCTATTATCATAAAAAAATCCCATAATGCATACCTTACATGACAAGTATTTATTGTTTTCTCAGATTTGCTGTGACATTTGTCAGCAGTGGTACCACCACCAATGTGTACAAAGGCCTCCAGTGGATCAACCGTACTTGTGCCCTGGATGCACATAATGCCCCGAAGGAACCATCATTAACTGTCCACTATCATTTCAACCAATGCAACTATTGTGATGGCCAGGCCTGTCATAAAATGCCCCCCCCCCCAAAAGAGGTTTCTATGAATCCCACCCTCAAGCATTTTTCAGGGTATGGTTCTAGGACTGGTACCAATACATGGAGCAAGTTTCATGAATGTCACACTTTTATTTTGTAAGATAGCAAGGGGGGGCATATTGTGATGGACAGGCCTGTCATAAAATGCCCCCCCCCCCCCCCCCCCCCCCCCAAAGGGGTTTCTATTAATCCCACCCTCAAGCATTATTCAGGGTATGATTCTAGGACTGGTACCAATATATAGAGCAAGTTTCATGAATGTCACACTTTTATTTTGTATGCATAGCGTATAATAATATGCTGACAAAGACTATGTAACATTTGTAAACATATATTTTGATTATTAGATGACAACTATGTAAAATTCCATCCATCCATCCATCCATCTTCTCCCGCTTATCCGTGGTCGGGTCGCGGGGGTAGCAGTTCCAGCAGAGAGCCCCAAACTTTATTTTCCCTGGCGACATCAACCAGCTCTGACTGGGGGATCCCAAGGCGCTCCCAGGCCAGCGAAGAGATATAATCCCTCCACCTGGTCCTAGGTCTACCCCTTGGTCTCTTCCCAGCTGGACGTGCCTGGAACACCTCCCTAGGGAGGCGCCCAGGTGGCATCCTAACTAGGTGCCCGAACCACCTCAACTGGCTCCTTTCGACGCGAAGGAGGAGCGGCTCAACTCCGAGTCCCTCCCTGATGACCGAACTTCTCACCTTATCCCTAAGGGAGACACCAGCCACCCTGCGGATAAAACCCATCTCGGCCGCTTGTATCCGCGATCTCGTTCTTTCGGTCATGACCCATCCTTCATGACCATAGGTGAGGGTAGGAACGAAAATGGCCCGGTAGACAGAGAGCTTTGCCTTCTGGCTCAGCTCCCTTTTCGTCACAACGGTGCGGTAAAGCGACTGCAGTACCGCTCCCGCTGCTCCGATTCTCCGGCCCATCTCACGCTCCATTGTTCCCTCACTCGAGAACAAGACCCCGAGATACTTTAACTCCTTCACTTGGGGTAAGGACTCATTCCCTACTTGAAGTAAAATTAAACAATACATTTTAAAGCACGTTTATACAGACAGGACGTAACAATAATGATAAAAAAAAGATTTAAAAAAACAAAAACTGAAAAGGAAGTGACGAATGAATTTCGACACCTCAAATACGGAGCGAAAAGTTAAACCAGAAGAATCAAGACTATGAGCTACCACTAAACAACTCACAGTCTGAAAATTACCATTAATAAAAACCCTGAACGTTTACTTTTCGTTTTAAACATCGTTTTAAGGTGTAAACCTATGGTGTAAACGTGTCATTTAGAGGTGTAAACGTGTAATTTAGAAATGCGCGTTCCCGTGACAAGGGGGGCATTTCATGACGGGGAGGCATAATGTGACACAACACCTGTTGTTCCCCAGAGTTTGCCGCTTGGTTTCAACATAATCTCAACCTTTATTTTGAAAATGTATTCACTCCGCTAGAACACCGTAGTTACTCTTTTATTTTCAAGGTACAACCTGTTATTTCCGGTCTGAGTGCTGATTCTTGTGTCGCGCTTGATGCAGATGGCAGTACTTAAAAACGTGTGAGGGTCTCGTTGAAGCGTCCCGCTGTCTGCTTCCAGAGCCCCGCAGTCATCACCCTGAACCCGGTAAGCTGGCTGATAAGCACCGCTGTTACTTTTTTACTGTACACTGTCTGTTTACTTTATTTTTTAAAACTTGTTTTTACAGAAATAACTTCATGCAGGACTGTTTTTAATAATTTGCACGCGCAGGTTTTATTACGCTTGATGAAACTGTTGCACTAGTCTCACTTATATATTCTATTAGCCCACTGTAAATATGTGACCATTGATTGTAATCACCTTTACAGTATGTCCAACTAACAAATGTACAGTCAGGACTCAGTAGCATGCAACTCTCTTCCTCTGTCTCACATCTTGTCATTTCATACACATTACACTTGCAAAGCAGCGTTTTGATATCCGGAGAGGAAACAAGTCTTAAAGTCTGTCTGGGGCGTTGGCTGTCTCTGTACATGTGTATGTGAGAGCTACAGTTACATGCTGACTTATGGAAGCCTGGGCTGCTCCTGAAATCTGTTTCCAGTTAGGAATTCTCCTTTTTTTCACCCAGTGATGGAACCGCTGAGGCTCAAAAATGCATCAGAGGTCAATTAAAATGCCTGTACTGCTATTTTCATTGTCCTGTATGTGTGTGCGTTTATATACATGTAAGTGATGCATATGGCTCCAGTGTTGGTTCCACCAGTTATCATTATATTGCAAGCTCTTGTGAGGCAAGTTCAGGATCCAGATGTGCAACTGAACTCTTTCTCCCTTTCATGCAGGGAGTTACAGAGCAGATTATGCAACATAACCTTTACAAATAGGAAGAAACACCTGCTTATTCATAGATTTATATACAAAAAGAATGCATCTGTTGGATTGAAAAAACAAGACTGAAGGAGGAAGGAGAGATGTTCCTCTAACTTTTCAGAAGGAAATCTCATGTCACAGATGTTGCAACTGAAGTAAACTTTTTTAATGTATAGGCGACTAAATGTTGCAGATTCCTACTGTGATTTGGAGGTACAGTCATTCTGAACAGCATGCGCAAAAACTAACTCAGACAGTAAGTAAGCCAAGAACCATTTGTGGGACTGACCTTTTGCTGCCTCACACACTCACAGACACACACACTCACAGACAAAAGCCATAGGGAGTTTTTACTGATTGAAAGCTGGTGCCTGCATGTTAAAGAAATTACCATGAGCTCAGTCCCATAAAATACATCACTGGCTCGTAAAACTTTATGCATTTGTCTGAATTTATGTCATAGGAACTCCCTGTTGTGTTTCGCCTGTTGTGACTTTAATAAGATATAATGTAAATGGGATTCGGACATGTTTTTAAAACATTTGTTATCGATCCCCAATGGTCAACTAAACATTTTTTAGTAGAGTTTTTAATGGATATCTGCAGTTTTAATAATCTGACAAACTGACAACATGATGGTGAAATAGATTTTGACTGACTTAGAAACTTGGCAGTGTGTTATCTTTAACCGGTGGCAATTCAAACCTGTTGTGATATGTTTGGGTTTGCTGATTTTAATCAGTGGTTGTGAAATAGAAGGACGAAAAGGCATTGTGTTTCTTTATAATATGTAAAAGGAAGGAGGCAAAGCTAGTAACATGTTCTTGTGCCGTCAAAGACATCAAGGATGTCTAAGAGTAAAGGGGACGGCAGGTGCAACATCAATTAAATGGCTACATATTAGATATGTTTAAGATTTAAATTAATAGTTTGGTAGCTTAGCTTAGCATACATATTGTAAGCAGGAAGACACAGGCTCTGTCTCAAGGTTCAAGGTTCTTTATTTGTCAACAAACCTCATTTACAATTAACCCGTTATACCCGTTTATAACCCGTTTTATACCCGTTTATAACCCGTTTCATTAGAATAGATAAATCCGTCCCAATAAACAAAGTGTGAAAACACGTTTTCTTGGCCTGCAGGAGTGACTTCTTGAAGTCTTGTTGCAACTGGTAGGATCATAACTTTTAGTTTGTACACTTTGGTTTTTCAATGGCGTAAGCAAACAAGATAAAACATGTAAATGAGTGAGCTTCAGTGTTTCGTTATCTTATCTTATATTTATTACAGAGCAAAGCAAGCTGTTTCCCATTGTTCCCAGTCTTTAGCTTCTGATTGTAGCTTCATATTTCATGCACATGATGATCTAACTCTCACAAAAAACTGTTAAAATGATTTAAAATAATGATGTAACTTATTTTACACAGACGTTTCCATATTGGACTCAAGTTGTGAGGATTTGATACCTTATGGTCTTCACTGAGTACCTGAATTGCAACTGTTATTTCTAAGGAATTTAAGGCAGGAAATGTAAATTGGGGGCAACAATTTTTCAAATTGTCAGGGTCTGTATGATATCGGTTTCTAAAGATGACAGGGAAGGTAGCCAAGACTTAACTGGCAGGAAGAACATTTGGATTTACCAATGAGACCAGATAATTCAGCAAAAGTTGGGAGTTTAAAAGGTACATGGTAAAAAAAGAAGGAACAAAGAAAGACTGAACTGTATGTATTGTTGCAGCTGAGCATTAAAAAAGATCAGGAAGGATGTTGCATTTTGGGATACAGATGCGGTGTGAAAGTGTAGGCTGGCTGTCAAATATTAAACAGGGCTCTTGTGTTCTCTTCGCCTGACCTTATTCAATTTGCCTAATAGGTCGATTTGGCTGTTGGGCGTCCTTTTAGCGATGTTTCTTGTCATCAGCACTTTCTAAGACACCAAATATGGTAAAATCTTGAGTGACGTTACATCTCTTTAGTTGAGTTAAAGAGGCTTTTAAAAATAGTTGTCTGTATACTCCAACACTTTACTAAGAAACTTAATTATGTTGGTTTTTCCCTTAATTTGGCACCCATCTGTGAGCTCATTCAGCCCTGTGGTCTAACAGTTAAACTGAGGGTAAATGATCTAATGTTTGGTCCCCTGAAGGGAGGGTTATATTTTATATATTATTTTTAGACAGAAATCGTCATGTTTGGCATAAATGGTTCTCGTAAAGTACGGCTTTGGTGTGGTCATTTATGTCGAGGTTTCAATCTGGGAGAATGGTTACAAAATGGCTGGAGATTTATAAAGGGATATTTTGGAAGCAAACAAGCCCTTAAGGCAGCACTGAGGGCTTAAATGTCCCGTTATACATTGGACATTTAGTAGTGCTCCAACAGGACTGATTTGGTGCCAATGTGGGGGATTTCCCTTGCACACATCAAATGTCATAGATATTCACGGAAATGGTAATTGGTCATACATTGCTGCTGCTGAAGGGTTTCTCAGCTGCTCTGTTCTGAAAGACATCTCAGTTACTGAATGAGACGAGAAACAGAAGGAGTGTGTCAC